GGGAGGTGAGACTAGCTACAAAGCAGGTCCAGAGTATGAAAAACTTTGAACCCTGGGACAGTGGAGGCCAACTGGAACATCCACTGAGAGGGATATGATAAGGAGCTAAAACCCCCTGGTTCAAAGAATGACCAAGGGCAGGCTGACCAGTTTCAAACCAATGTAGGAAGCCAGCAGTAAGCTCATGAGCAGCAGCAGGAGAAGTGGGCATCTCCCTTCTTCAAAGAAGGGTTACAATGAAACAGAAGAGCTCAGACTTGATCAAGTTTCCCAATCTTGTAAAGAGGGTTCAGTTTGAGGTCATAGTGGGGCACCAACTGAAATCATCTTGTAAACAGCTGGGGGGACACACTCAAGCTAAATTTGGATATAATGCAACTGGAAGTGGACTTCTGGATCTGCAGAATTACTGCCAGTTAGTTGCACAGTTGTTATTTCATTAATCTCTTAAAGATATGATTGAATTTTTTGAACTCTACTTACAGGACTGCTTTCTTTCCAGAAGCTTTTTTTAACAGAGATTCAACCAGAATGTATTAAGTAAAAGGATGCTAACTATGGTTTTAGTAATCTAAAGGAAGCATTGCAATTGTCAAAGAACCTAATGTCCAATCCAGGAGAATAGTGCTTATTGGTTTTGGTGTATTGGTGTATTTATTACTGTGTGCAAGTAGCATGACATGTTGCTTATGTAACATAAAAAACAAAAACAAAAAACCAGTCCCAGCACACATATGTGCCTACATGTCACCAAATTCTAAATCCAGGTGTCTCAAACTTTAGTGCCTGTTAATCTAGAGTTTTATGCTTAAAATGCTCTGGTGGAGCCCTGTAAACTGCATTATTAACAAGTCTCCCAGGCGATTCTGTTGCAGAAAAATATTCTTTGGAAAAGCACTACCTTAACTCCCAGGTGTTAGTTAAGCTCTCTCAATCATTGTACTTCGCTGATTTCAGGTTTTCAAGAAATATATATTGTATGAAATCAATGTGTTCTCAGCCCTGACAGCAATAGGGCACATATTATAACTTCTTGGATACCTAAATATATCATCTTTCAAAGAAAAACATTCATTTGAGTTAGCCCACATAACAAAATAGCAAGTTGCTATATACATAAACTTTACTTGACATCAGCCAAGTCTGGGGTTTATTTCTACTTTCCAGACAAGTCATTAGCCACAATCAAGAAAATTATCTTTATCTCTCTTCATTTTTCCATTTACCACACTAGCACACTATATCTATATCTATATCTATATCTATATCTATATCTATATCTGTATCTATATCTATGCATACTCTCTCTACAAAGGGGAGCGGGTGTTTAAAGATGAAAAAAAAAGCTCCTTATTCAATAAAATTCAATGTAAATATGAATGGTACTGTATTCATTTTTTTTAATTTACTATAAATGGGATCTCTAGATCATAAGCCCCTACCTATATGATTCTGGGCCTTAAATACTGAGCTAAGTTCTGAAGATAGTTTATAAATCCTTCCTAATCTTTTAATCTTTGCAGGTCCTTTAGTACTATTGTGTCGTATTTATTGATTTATTAATAGGCTTCATTAATTCTAAGATTAAAACCTGGCAATTTAAAATAGTATATGACTTGTTATAAGTGACTTTCAATATAACTTTTAACCCAGAAATCATCAAAGGGCATCAAAAATAAACACAACTAAGAAATGTATGGAAATTTCATATGAAGGCTTTGCTTTAAAGTTTGTTAATATGAATTAATAAAACAAATAATTCACAAATGACTTTTCACATTTTGTCCTAGGCTTCAAAGAACATTTTCTTTTAAAGTTATTTATTTAACTCTTTGCTTACTTGTGTTCTTTTTCCTTTTACCCAAAGCACTTTAATCAGGGATAGTTGTCTTTAGATCTCTAAACATATTTTAAAACCTCCAAAACTGATTGTTTAAATCGTTTTTATACAGCATTTTATTGAGACCAGTTTAGTCTTCAGTTACTTGTAAAAGGATAATGTTAGATTGATATTTTAGAAATGTAACTAATACCCAGGTCCTCTGTCCCACCACGAGATAGTAACTTTCTGAATATTGAACAATGTATATACACACTAAGGGATAAAAATTCATCTAAATTGTGAGTCCTATCAATGTTCCAACACTCGTGCCTATTTATGAGCTTAGTATCTTCTCAGGCATCTCTAAGTAGCTACTTTAAATTTTTGGTTAAATCAGTAACCCATCAAGCAGATATTAAAGTACATTTATGAAAATACATGGATGCTTGGATAGAGATATATTCCAGACGTGAAAATTCTTAAGGTTGCTAAAGAAAATATAATACTTTAAGAGATTTTTAGTTATTTCCTTGTCTTTTTTCTCCAAACATTAGACGAAGTTGCATTGTTTACAAAAATTTATTCATACAAATTTTACACACTTTATATAACAGTTATCAAAGTCCTAGTTATAGATATCATGTGTGTAATAATACTTGGTTAAGATGTTTTTATAATCAGTTGCACACAAAATAAGAGCTTCAAGACTAACATCTACCTAAATTATCACTATATCATAAATCTGCTCCAGGTTAGTAAGGCTCTTGGCATTTCTAAAAAGTATACAAAAGATTAAACTGGGTGATCACTGTAAATGCTTGCAACTAGCCACGGGAACACTAAATTAGATTTCATAAATAAAAGGTTAACTAGAGTCCTATTTCACCACTAACAGCTGACACAAATACAGAAAACTCTGCCCATTATCCAAGAAACAAATAATTAAGACTAAAATGCAAGCCGATGTGTTGCAGCATTGTAGGGCCACTAAATAGCCATCTGTGATTCGTGGCGATTTAAAAGGCGAAGAAAGGCACTAAAGCTGCAAACTGTGTCCCACGTCACATTGCCTGAGGAGACTGCAGAATTAAAGAAAGATTGATCCCGTACACAGGACCCAGGCATAGATCGAATACCTCTGTGTTTTCTCTGTTTGCAATGTGATCTCCTGGCAGCATCCATCCCGCCTGGGAATGCAAATCCAATTCTGTTTTCTTTGATTTATGACTTCATACTGATCAAATCCGTAAAGGAAAAAGAAAGGTCGTTTAAACTTTACAAGCTAATGTTTAATCTTTTCTTGTTCTTTTTTTTCCCCCAAAAGAATTTGTGCCTGAAATTTGGAAGTTTGGCTGGTTTGCCTATTGTTGCTTGATCTGGTTGCTGGGCGAAGGTTCTTTTGTTTATAAAGATTACTTGTATTTCAAGGAATTGAAAGGAAACAGACACACATGCTTTCTGTAACCAAGAAAGGATACAAAGAGAGATTCTCAGGATCTTTTGGAGCTTGCTTACCTTACTCTTGACCACAAATATAAGATAGTACTCATACATATCAAGATGAGGTTTAAGTGATTTATCAGTTAGTAAAACTGAGCAACATGTGAACACTACACATTCTAATGTGACAAAGGTTGGTTTTATGAAATAAATTTTACTAAGCAATAAGCCATAATGTAGAAAAATACATTTTACCTACAAACTCAATAAACAAGAAACAAAGGTTCATATTTAGTTCATAATTACTTAGTAGTAACTACACAGGGGTTCCTAAACTTTACAAGTTCTTGCATCAAACAACAACAACAAAAAAAGGAAGACGCATTAACAAGTTTAAGAGAAGTGAATGAAAAATGGTAAACAGTACTTAAACAGTGCAAAAGGGTGGCAAGGAGGGATCTTCAGAAAAACCACAAAAGAAAAGGGTGGCTTCTACAGAGCAGGGTTCAAAGGGGAGGATCCTGGCCATCACAAGATGAGAAGCATGGACAGCACTGGAGAAAAACACATTGTACTTTGCTTCCATTTCCAAGACCCAGCACCCAAAGTCGGTCAGGCTGGGGGCCTAAAGTGGGGACTTGGCTTACCCCCAGGACCCCAGACCTGGGGAAGCCCCAAACTAGCCCCTCTCCAGGGTTCTCCTCCTACTGCCTATGCTCTGCCTCTTCCAATATACCTGTATTCCTTTCACTTTGTTCCAACTGCCCTAATCTTGGGATGTTTGGTTTCCGAGAAGTACAGAAAAGGGAGCTTTCTATCCAAGTCTCCCTTCTCTGTACAGTCTCCCAACTCTTCCCCCAGGGAGTGGTGTGAATTCCAGGGAGAAGCACAATTTAGATCGAGCTGTTGTTATATCAGGAGAATTTCCTTCTGGGCTGAGAGTCTGAAGAGAGACAAATACACATAAAAGTAGAATCAAATAAAGCAGAAGTATTAGAATTGTCACCCAACGAGGGGGACAGTGCCTTCTTGAGTTGGGCTGGGATTGAAGGAGCCTGCCCCAGAGACTCACTGGGAAAGAATGTCCTACAGCAATTCTCCCAAACCATTACCTTGAAATCTCCCTGGAGCAGGGAATCATTGTTTATGTACAGTAGCAAATGGTCAGTATTAATATCTTCAGGCCTGTTGTGGATAAAAATACTATCCTTTTAATTCTTGTTTACAAAAATAGGAGTAATATTCAAAACAATGATTGTCTATTTTTCTATTTATTTTATATAAAAACATAAACAGCTCAGGGAAATTTTCAATCCTTGTGCACACTTTATATGAACTGCTCTCTATTATACTTATATATATTCTTAAATATATATATTTATAATATATATCAATAATTGGCCCACAAAGTATATCTGTGCATTCTCTAGTGCTTTGTAAAAAGAAAAACAATATTATTATCAAAATATTCATTTAATGGCTTTACTTCATACATAAATACACGTTTGGATAGAACACATGAGCGATGACTGTTCAGTTAGTTGGGAAAATGACTTTTCATTGTGTCAGAGTTGTATACACAGGGTAGCTGGTAACTAACTCGCTACAAATACGCTATTCGGCGTCCTTTGTTTTTAACCCTTTGTTTATACCTTTTCCCTAGGACCGCCGCCAAGTATTTCTTGACAGCCATTTGTTTCCGGTAGCGGCTGTAGCTGTCCGTGAAGATTCCGTCTGAATGGCGCTTGGAGAGCGGCTCCGAGTCGTCCTCCCCGCCGTCGCCTAGGTTCCCACTACAAGGAAAGGGGTTGGGAAGAGGGCGGTGGGGCGGAAGACACAGATTCAACAGCTGCAGGGGCCAAGCGGACCTCACCCCACGTGGAAGCCTGCAGAGAGGGCAGGGGCCCTCAGTGCCCACCGCGCTGCCTTCCTCTGCCAGTGAGAGCTGGAGGGAGGGAGGCGACGAAAACCCCTCACTCCTCCGTCCCCATCGAGGATTTCCTGGCACTAAATCCTTATGGAAGAGGCCGGGGATGAGGTCTAGGCCAAGGGAGAGCGATTTAAGCCTAATCTGTCTTCACTCGTGCGTTTGCGCTGAATTATCCTAACTGTTCCTCTCATCCCCCACTTGCACAGAAAAATAACCAAAGAACCCTAAATGCTGCAGCTATGGAGTTTACATCGATCCCCGCAATTCCTAGCCAGACGCGAAGCACTCTCCTTCTGCACGCTAAGTTGAAAAACGTGATAATAATACAAGTCGACAGGCTGTAAGCAATATTTTTCATCGTATGAATTATTCATTGCGGAAAATGTAATCTATATTCCCATGGGCTTTATTAAAATGTTGCCTTCTACTGAGAGATGCTCCACGCAAGCTGTGCTTTGGGTTCGTCTGGCACAAGCAGAAACTGTTTCCCTAATGTCCAAATTTGAGGATTTATTGGTTTCAATTTAAATTTACAGTAAAAGAAATGTTTTTGTTCTTGTTTTTGTTTAAGTCAAGCTTAGAGGAAATTATAGCAAACCATCCCGCGAAGCTTGAAGGTTTTGGATGACAGAGCGGTTTGTTTGGTTTCTTTTTCTTATGCAAAATAGATCACACGCCCCGTTTTCCTTCCCTCTCTCTTCCTCTCCCGGATTCCAAGCTCTTGCCAAACTTCAGATGCGCCCCGGAGTCTTCACCCGCGGCCAGGAGCTGGCCGCGTAGACTCCCGGGGCACCCTCGGCCCCACGTGCACGCACGGACGTAAAAGCCGCACCGCATGCTCCGCGCTCTCAGCACCAACACCCACCCCGGCGCGCGCACGGCATCACGCGCGGGTTAACTCTTTCGCGAACTCTTACCCCATGCCCTTGGCCACGAGCGTCTGCAGGTATTTCCTGGCGGACAGCTGGTCCAGCAATTTGCGGTAGGCCTTGTTAAGGATCGCGTGGGCGACATCTCTAATGAGGAGGCAAAGCGCGCCCAGGGTCACTGTTTGTCCCAAAGGGGCCTCCCCAGGCCCTCCGCTGGGCATGCTCGCCTCTCTGCGCTCCAGCAGGCTGACAGGAAACCCCCTGAGACCCAGAACTCGCGAATAACTCTCTTGGGATGTTTCCGTGAGTGACTGCCAGGAACGGAACTTCCTCCTGCAACTCCGGGGTGGCAGGTGTGGAGTCTGGGTGTCCCACCCGGCCGGGACGGGCACTCCCTGCCACTCCCTGACCACGGACCTTTCGGTCACCGCGCTGCCCTCCTGTCCGTATAGACCGGTCCGCTACTAGCTTGCTGTCGTGGGAACCAGCCAGGGAGGAAAGAGCCTTGATAGCCCTTATGAAAAAAGAACCTACGGGGTGGGCCACCACCTTGCCTGTACCACCACCTCACTCCCGGGGCCGCTTGGAGACCCAGCAGTTAGTACCTCGTCTCCACAGGGTAGTAGAGCGCATAGGCGTCGCGCAGCGCGGAGGCGGGGCTCCCTACGCCGGGCGGATCAGAATCATAGAAGTCCTGCAGCGGGTTTCCGTCCTCGTCGTAGGCTTCGTCCTCCGGCCTGCAGGAGTAGCCGGAGGCAGAAGGAGTGGTCAGTACTAGTACCTCCCTGGTTCTGCGAGGACCCAAAGAAATGGGCTCGTACTGATTTTCCTTCTTCCTAAAGGCACCCCAGTGAAGAACAGCCTCTTCTACCGGGACAGGGGTGGGAGGTAGAGGTAAGGAGAAGGAAACTACACCCAAATGAAATTCCCAACCCGCGAGGCAGCCGGCTCTCCCACCCCTCCTCTAGTGGGTGACTGGTCGCCCAGCAGGGCCGCAGCTTCAACCGGCACTAGGAAGCCGAAGCGTCTCCGCCGACCACGCACACCTGGCTGCGGAAAAGAACCTCTCCTCTCGGCCTGGCGCCTCAGCCTACCCGCACAAACAGCAATGGGCGGGGACGAGAAAGGCCGTTGGGCGGTGGCCAACCCCAAGACCGGATGGAGGAGGCCAGGAGCGAAACAGATAGGGTGGATGGATCGGGTGTGCGGCAGCCAACTCTGGCAGCCACCCCCACCCAGTCTCTGAGCCCAGGGGAGCCCTTTCCAGCAGATGTAGGTCACAGAGAACCTCCGGCTTCTATTTTGGGCAGGAGAGAATCTGGCAGGAACATGAATAATAGATGCCCCTAAACTTAGTCGTTCGGCGGCGGCTCATTCTGTGGCTTGTCCGCGCCCTCCGTTGTCTCTTGTCTGGGGAAAGGGCCAGGCACACGGGACTTTGAAAATAGCTGAGGGTGAAATAGGGCTTTTAAATCCAGTACAGAAATAATTCCCGCTAATCCGTTAGCGATGGCGGGATAACGAGACCCCGGGGATCAGGAAAAGGGTCAACAGGGGGCAGAGCCAGCAGGAGTGCAGCGGCCTCGCAGTCGCCCTTGCCTATCGACTCTATACTAGATACAGGACGGGAGAGATGGGTTAAAACAGAAACTCCTTGCTTTGGGCCGTTGGAGAGACTCGCAAAGCAGCCGGGGCAAGTCGCGCCCTCTAGGAAGGGTTAGAGAGCTCTCCTTTCCTCCATCCCTGGAAAGGTTAGGGCAAGGCAGGCAATCCCTCCACCCACCCCGCACCCAGCCTTTTCCAGGCGACGCGCCTCTGCCCTGTCCCGGCTTCCCAGAGTCCGTGGGTCTTTCTGGCTTCTTCCATCCCTGCCCTGTACTCAGTTGCTGGCGTCCTAATACTGAAGCCAGAACGCATCTCTTGGGCCAAATCAATGATCAGCGAGCGGCCCCGAAGGCGTGTTCTTGGGCATCGCTCGGAGAAGCAGCTTTGCAGGCGAAACTCGCGCTTCTTGCTGTCAGGAGCCGGGTACACCGCGGCGCGCGGACTCAGCGCTGCAAAGCCAGCTTCCAATTTCCCGCTGACCCGCTGGGGACTCTGGGGCTGAGGCAGGGAACTCTACCGATTCGAAACCAGGATTAAGAAAAAAGCCAAGGTTATTCCACCTAGGGTGGCCGCGGCTGTCCTAGTCCTGCCTGCCTGCTTGCTTTCTCTTCCTCCTTCCTTGCATCCGTTGCAACCGTTTCTCCCCCTCCCTCTCAGACTCATTCTTGTTTTTCTCTTCTCTCAAATCGCTTTCCTCAATCATACTCAGCCAACACTCCCCCTCCCCAAGACAGCCAGAGACTCAAAATGCAGTTGCAAAATGTATCACTTGAGAGAAAGCTCTTAGAGGAGAAAGAATTCTGACTGAGGTGAGAGAAACCCCTCCGCTATAGTCCGGAACAAGATGTAACAAAGCAAAGTCCCTGGGAGCATCACGCTCAACCCAGCAACCTGACTCTGGGAGCGGAAGTTCTAACTCCAGCCGAGAATCGGGAAAAGATGTCAACCTCCCGGCCCTGCCCTGCCCTGCCCTGCCCCCCTCCTGCGGGCGGGGCTGGAGGAGGGTAGGTTTCTCCAGCGCTCTGAAGCGCGCTCGATCCACCCGGGCCCCTAGACTGCAATGGGCTGAGAGAGGGGCGCCGAGCCGAAGTGGAGCCTGCCCGGCCCTCGAGCTGAGCTGGAGCCAGGGACTTGCAGCCCGACCCAGGCTGGCTGCGGCACTCAGGGGCGCATGGGGTCGTAACCGAGACTGAGGAAATGCAGGAGGGCGACCATGAGAAGGTGTCGGAGGAAAAGAAGCCCCAGCTTCAATTCAACCCAGGCGGCCAGTACCTACCTGACCCCAGGAAACCGGAGTCCAGCGGCGGGAGGTGAGCAGTAGACGCTGCTGTGCATTATTATCCCATAGACCAGCAGGGCTAGTCTTGCTCCGCTACACATGGTCATTCTGTGCAGGACAGGAAAAGAGGACACACAGCTGTCAGAACGCCCCTGTCCTTCCACTCTCCACCCCCAAGAAACTCTAGGAGCTGGGGGAGGGATGGAACAAAGCCGTGACTCCCGGTGTTGAATACGGCTTAGTGACAGACTGCGCGCACCCTGCCATTTCCCTCTCACTATACGTAGTTAGAAAAAATATGTATGTATATACCCAGCACCCAATAACTCGCCAGACCTGGTGAGAAGGAAAGCTAACTCGTACCCTCATGCCAGCGAAAGAATCAGCAGTTAAGTGAGCAGTTTGGTGTGGGAAGATTTTCCCCCCTTACCATTCAACTCTTACCGCCGCTAGGAGAGGGTTTGCTGCCAAGTAGGACGGCGGGCAAAGGGCTCCTCCAAGTTTCTGCGCTGGAGTCACAACCCAAGAGACATCACCATCTGGCGTTAGTATCTGAGGAGAAGCCGCAGGAACGAGCAGGAGGAGCTGGAGGACTTGTTTGCTGAGGACAGGATTCTGTTCAAAAGTTTGTAGACGCACAGAACTAGGAGGGAGCGTGACACTGAGAAAAGGGGGCGAGGAGACAGATGTAGAAGAAGGAAGAAAGAGGAGGCAACGAGCTAAAGTGGGGGTGGAGGACAAAGTGGCCTAGGTCCACCGGGAGAAAGAAGTAAGTGATTAAGGAAAAAAGGAATAGTTGAGGAAGAAAGGGAAGGAAAGAGAGAGGGCCAAGGGGCAGCCGGAGTCTGTGGGAGCCTCCAGGTCAGGCAGCTGCGAGAGTCGGCAGCGCCTTCTCTTCTCTGAGTTTCCTCTCGTTGTGTCTGAGCTGCGGCTTCTTCTGCTGCTGCCAGTGATTACAGAGGTGACCGGCCCTCTGCTCCTATTTATATGTTCAGTTAGCAGAAATCTATCAGAACATGGTTTTAGAAGAGATTTCTTTGCCAATATCTATCTGCCTGTGGCCTTTAAGTACAGAATATTTTGTTGCACTGTTGCGCTCCGATTTTTATTCATGAAATGACTTCCTTTTTTTTTTTTTCAGTCACGTAATGATCGGGTATCAGAAAAAGACGTCAGCATTCTAGTCCCTCAAGGAACATATTAACTATTCTGTGCTGTCCTGTTGGATGATAAGATCTGGAGTCATCCACTTCTCATAAACACCTTTCACTCATACAATCCAATTTTTAAGAAGTCCAATTATTTTGATGGTTTACAGATTTACCCATTTCTCAAAGTCAGTAAAGAATTTATAGAATTTTGAGCATCATAAAGGTCATGTTTTTAACTATGTCCTTACTATTTCTCTTTACTTTTCATCTAGCCCCAGCAATCAGAGCTCTGATCTCTGGAATTAAGCACCGTCAAGCTCTCCTATTAATAAATTTAATTTAGATCTCCTAATATTTTGCGTATGTTCTTTCAGATAGACAATTAAATGTGGAAATCGTTTTGTTTTTAAAGGGAAGTCTTGGAAGATTTTCGGTAAATTGCTAATGAGTCTGGCTGTCGTTGACAGTCTGGCTATGAGTAGATTGATTACGGTTAAAGCTGCGTCCAGAGTGTGGCCTGTGGAGCTGTCCAGACTCTGAGTGCTGAACCTGTTTGGTCGCAGATGATACGAATATTGAAAATTGCTCCTGATTCAATTTTTCACCAGAGCTTCTAAATCTGAGGATTTGGCAGTGGTGCCATTAATGTGGCAATTCATTACCCAAGTCACCCCACTGTCAGATTGAGTGTTCACAAATGCCTTTAAAGCTGAGAATGGTCCAACCTGTCTAGATTTTAATAAAGAGCATTCTGTGTCTCCCGCTAGTCCTGGATTTTGGTACTCTGGATGGCCTGTTTGGACACCCTCACTCTTTCTATGTCTCTTACTGATCTGAGGAATTGAAACTGGAATTGTGCTTTCCACAAAAACTGAAGTTTTAAGAATTTTGGAGTAAGAAATCTGCTTTTCTCCTTTATTTACAACTTGAGTTTTGTTTAAGGAAATATAGACAGAATGGGAAAGCACAAGGATCTCCAATACAAGTTCACTTGCTGAGGGTTTCTAACAAATCCCTCTGTTGGAAACGGTAATTTTTTTTTTAACTGAAAATAACGTGGGAAGAGGAAAGCAATAAGGGAAGACCATATCCACCGGAGGCTTCCAAGTCCCTGGGTAATTTAAGAAGATTTGTAAATTTCTACTCCAATAAAAGAACTCGGATTTATTTCTTTCAAAAAGGAAATAGAGCCATCAATAACCATTAGTGTGCACATGTTAATTATTTGGATTGGATCTTAAACAAAAATTAGAGGAAATGGCAATTTAGTGAGTTTCCTGTTACTATGATTTAGATCTAACATCTAAATAAGCTATATTAGTTCTGCATCCTTTTTCTAAGACAAAATTATAATGCTTCTCATTTCAATGCCTTTCCCGCTCTCTTATTTGATATTTAATACTTCCTCCAAGAAGACAGTTTTGCTTATTCCTGACCATGAATCTCAAGAAACTCTACACTTCCTCTTAGTTTATTCTTGGGGATGCTCCAGATTGCTTGTCTGCAATAAAGCTTCAAACCACATCTACATGGAATGTACCTCTTTGTCTGCACCGTATATATATTCGCTGAGTTATGTTGGAGTGTTTACATGCATGTGTTCCGTGTTTAGCTCTGCCTCTAGAGTAAGCTCCCACACAGAGAGCCCGCGGTGAACACGACCGGATAATCAAGCAGAGGCAGTCATCCTTACTAGAGGGCCCAAAGCTATTACTGACTCTGGCTTTCCTGCCTTCCGCCTTGCTTCACGTCAAAGGCGAACCCGATTAAAATCCTCCCACGCGAATTCTGAAATGAGTTCAATCTGTAGAAATACTTGAAAATTTCCAAGACTCCTTGTACAAATTCCCTACTCAACTTTAGTAAAGGGAGCCACCATGTGGGGAGTTTGTTGACTTCATGGCCTATTACAGGGGGAAAATCACAAACACAATTAACTTCGCGGGGAACATTGTGGAACTACTGGCTCACAGGCTCGCAAGACACTGAACTGCGCTTCTGGCTTACAAAAGCTCTTATATTTTCCCCTTCGTGGCGAAAGCACTCTCCGCGCGGAACTCGGAGCCCTGCACTGTAAAATTACCAGCCTCGAGGTGTGAACCCATTCAATTAAGTGAAAAACTAAGTGGATAGTTTAATTTGAGATTCTTGGTCACTAAACTCCAGAAAATCTAACTTTCGAGACTCATTCATGTTCAGCACAATCTAAAGACCCGTCCCGCCCGGACAGTCAGCTGCTTGGGGGAACCGAACCCCAGACAGGATCGTCCCGCAGATCTTTGGTGCCATTAACTGTCTCTTGATTAGGCGAATTTGGTGTCCCCTAGGCAAAGAAGCTTTCCTGTCCTTGAAAGTCCTGGACCGGGGCAAGTCGGGAAGACTGAGGGAACTAGAAGTTTAAGGACTGGACAGAGGGATCGGAGACTTGCGGGAGTCTGGGGCTGCACCCCCGCCTCTCCAAATCCTCAGGCCTGAGCTCAAGCCTTTCAGCTTTCTGTTCAGTGGAGGGGAATATGGAGCGATCGAAGTCTCAAAGACCAAAACTACTCAAGTGTCCCTCGAAAGTGGGAATTTGCTTCTAATCTGGGGGAGCGTTCCAACTCGAAACGTTAATGCTGCTTTCAAGGAACCTTTGTATCTGGGAGCTTTCGGAAACCGCGGGGAGGAGGACGCGTCAGACTGAAATGCCAGGCTGCAGAGGCCGGGAAGCACCCTGGCGCGCACTGAGAGGTGTCCATGGATGGGCGGGTATGGGCTGGTTCATTACAAATGCAGACGCCAACCTGGCTTAGTGTGAGGAATGGGGCCTGGGGGCTGAGGACCCGAAGGACCTCAACTAATGCGCCCTTTGTGGGAGAAGAAGGGAGAAGGGGAGGGAAAGTGAGAGGGTGATTGGGAGGGGCAGAACGGGGGCGGGGAGGGGGTGATACCTTCCAATTTTATCCTATTCTTACCCGGCTTCTCTCCCTGAGGGATTTTTACATCATCCTAAGGTGACTGAGGTTAAGATCGAGAAAGAAGCTTTCAGCTCTCCTATATATGATTGAAAATGACATGGGGGGAAAGAGGGAGGAGATGAAGGGAACTGACCGAAGAGTTAGAACTTCCTAGTTACAGATAACAGCAAAGGAATTTCAAGTCCCCACCCCTCTCTCCAACGTTCGTCAGAAGAAGTAGAATTCCCAGGCAGCAAAGTTTCTTTCCAGGCTACCGCAGCGAAGAATGGCATGTAACTGGAATCATTCTCAGTTTCAAAAAGTTAGTGGAACCACGGAAATCTTCAGAGTAGGAGGTTTCATGGGTGAGGAGTGACCTACCCAAAAGAGACTGTTTGGAAATATTTGTTGAAAATGACAAAGACCCTGAATTTCAAACCCCTATTATATCAACTACTTTTTAACCTGTTTGTCCTGAAGATATGGAAACATAAGTCTTTGTCAGAAATGGTGAATGCTACCTAAAAGCCTAGCATTGTTTTGTTGTTTTTCCTGGTCAGTGACACTTCTGTCTTCCTTGAAGTTTCGAGTTTTGAACTTTCAATCGACATTTGATTTAAAGAACTCTTTAGTCCTTGGGGGGAAAAATGGATTTTTGTATTCAAACAGGAAGAACATGTTAGTATATTCACTGAGAGTTTGAACTTACAGATGACTTTCCAACATTAGCAAATACCTAGTATAGACAAGACTCAGTTCCCTAGGGTAAGGAGATTTCTACTTCTTTCCTTCTGGCCTAGCTACTCACCCTACATGTAGTTTCCATGTGTTCACTTTTCCTTTCTTTGGCTATATTGCTCTCCCCATTACCTGTACCACCACCACCTCCACCCCCTACCCCCATTGATTATTTTTTTTTACCATATGAAAGAACATCCTATATGAATATGCACACACATATTCATACATTCTTGGTACAAATAATACTAAATCAGATTAGAAAAGTTATATATTCTCATT